TTTCCTATTATATCTTTTTAAATGCTTAAATGAATATAACGCAGAAAAATTTCCTACCTATTTTTAAAAATTTTTTATAATCAATTTTCTGAAAAACGCGTGTCAGAAAATGATAGACGCACTTTGAAATTTCGAGTTTCTAATAATAAAAAAAATCTACAAAAATTTGAGCTAACATATTTATCGATCCTAAGAAAAAATAAAAAAGAATTAGACCCATATCTCACTTCAGTGTCGAGATCCAGATCCCTCGAAAATCAATGTAAATCGGGGGTAAGGCTATTTGAAAAATATTTTCGACCCCTTATGGTTGGTTTTAAATTTTCATTTTCTCATCCGAAAGCCCTTAAAATTTGCTATTAGATAAATTGGATCTTGTATTTCAGAAAAAATTTGGAAGACAGATGTAGGTCGTTAATTTCCCGACGCTAATTTTATGGGGCATTTAGGTGATTTTCTCTGCCTTATGAATTTAACACTACATAACTTTCTGACATATTTTTTCTAGAAAAAAAACTTATGCTATCTTATAGCAAATTTTAAGCCCCATTTTTGAGCTTTAATCCTGCCAAAACCCTTAAAGTTGTGGGTTTGGCCAATGAAAAGATTGTTAAAGAATTTATGATTCAAGTGAGTTTGCGTTTAGTGACGCAAATATATATTTTTTAAAGTATTTAAATAAAAATATTAATTAATAAACCGTTAATTGGATAAGATGTGGGATCTTCCCAAGAATCTTGCATATCCACAACCCTTACAAAGCATTGAAAATGCTGACAATATGTTGCCCTATACTGATTCGTCAATTTTATATTTTCAGTAATGAATTCTTGGTCACAAGGACGTAGTATTTGTGTTTTGGAAAAAGGCTTAAAACAAAAAAATTTATCACAATGAAGTTGAAATTGAAAAATTTTAAATTGAAGAAATTCAATTTCTACAAAATGAAAATAATTCCATAGTATGTTTGCCGTAGGGTTGCTCACCACCGGTTATTAACCGGTACCCCCGGTTTTCGGCAGACTTTGCCGGTTTCATCAGATCTATCGGTTGACCAAAACATAACCGTTAAGCAAAAAATTCTGTTTTCCGAATCGAACAGAAAATTTGTCGAGGATTAAGAGATATCTGTGGCTAAAAGTTGATTGATATCTGGTGATAAAAGTTAGAATCAGAAGATAAAATGTATTCACCGATATTTACATAAATCCATCGATATCTCAAATACCTACTATGTCACCGATATCAAACCAAACTCATGATATATGATCTCTCGATATCTCTCGAATTACCCTTAATCCTAACAAGCTCCCAGATATCAAATCCCTGGTATCCCAGTTACATATATTGACCCTCCGCCTTAATCTTACAATATACCCCATATGTCTTCACTCTCCAACGCTTATTTTAAATTTTTAATGATTATACTACATACTAAAAGATAATAAATGAAAGGAATTACCAAAATATTTAAAATAATAATTATTTTAAGCAACAGCATAATTAAAATTTTAATATTTTCAATTCGTGCAGATAAAATATCTTTAGATTTGAATGTTTATAAAAGTCTAATTGGTAAATGTCCAGGTCGTGTCCCACATGTCCGAATAAGGCATTGGTCAAAAATTCTTTTTCTGATTTATGTCCACGACCTGGGCATTTACAATGTATTTTTAACTTCTTGAAATTGCTATAAATCAAAGAAAAAAGTATTAATTCGGAAGATAAAAAAAGCGAGATAGAAAACCAAATTAAAGTATCTTAGTACTAATAAAAGAATAAACAAGATAAGACAGTAACTATAAAACTTTTATATCGATGGAAATAATATCCACACATTTCTAGAATTATTAAAGTAAAAATTAAAAAATGCCATAAGTACTAATAAAATATACTTCTAGCGTTAATTAAATGTTTGTATTGATGAATCACTTGTAACGATAAAATAAATACAAAAATATATTAATATCAAAAATATTTTCACAAAAAGTCATCATTAAATCATATTTTACTTAATCTAACTGGAAATGTATGATCATTATCATTTTTAATATAAATGAACACTTATTCATAATATATAATTTTTATTTTTAAATATCATTTAAAAAAATTTATATGAGATTTATATGAGATTTATATTTAAAAATTTATATGAGAACATTTAACTTTTTTTTATTTTCTGATTTAGAATATCTAATAAAGATGAAAATCTTAATAAAGTTTATGATTATTTCATTTATTTATTATGTTTATGCCGAACAGGATTTTCAAGATAAAATGATTAAGAATGAACGGCAAGTCAATAATAATCTGTATGTTATACATTCATATTAATTTACTAAACTTTACCAAAGTTTTTGTGATAAGTTTGCCTGTTTTTACTATTATAATTTCTAATTCCTACATTCTTATAATCAAATACTATTATTATTTTTACGTTTTCCTTTGATTATTTTGAATGTAAGTAAATAGTTTGCTATTTCTAAATATATGGTATACATCTAAATTTATCGGAAACCCAATACGAACACAAATTTCTTCTACTTATCAGAATTTTTGTATGACTTAAACCCCTTCTTCATAAACGTTCTATACTATTTAAACTTTAAATCATATAAAAAAATTTCTTTACTTAATAATTATTACATTAAGTGTGTTTTTAACTGACATGGGCATTACATATTTTTCAATTCCATATTTAAATACTGACCAGTGCATGATGCGTCCTGGACAGAAGGATCACGGCTCGTATGGTTTAATCTTCGATAGACCATACTTTTATCTCTGTGACGAGTAAATTAAATATAATTATTTCTTTAATAAAATATTTAGATTGTTAATTTGTTATCCAAGTCAACTGGTCGGTAATAATACACGGACTGGACTTATAGCAAATATTCCATACCGCCTTCGTGAAGGAATAAAGGTGAATAGATTGGTCTATTAAGTTTTATCCATAAATTATGACATAAAGGATGATTCTTTTGGGTTTGTCCAACCCTATATCTTGATTCAGTTTTAATTTTTGCTATCTTTCGCTTTTGTTATAATTAATTAATCCAAATTATATTCAAATTTAAAAGAATAATGTCACTAAACAATGCGAAAAACGACGCAAAGAATTTTGCAATGAGCAAAAAAACAAACCTTTGTGTACTTTGGGACAGCCTGGTTCGAATATTTGGCATGGAATCATGATAAAAACCGAAGATATTAATCGAAACACAAGCGATCCCCCAGTTTTAGTAACAACAATCACATTGTCTATTGCAAAGCAAAAGTAATATTTTGTGTTTATTTTGTAAAATTTTTTGTCTCTAACATAAAAGAAAAAACAATTGGAAATGCTACTAAAATATTCAAATATTTTTCAGATATGAAATAATCGAAACATTAAAGTTCTATATAGAATTTGGTCGCATGAAAGATATATTCACACGTGTCATTTTGGAGAACGAAAATATTAAAAGTCTGTATTATATTATAAATTGCTTAAGAAATTTTTGAATTTCATATTTATGATATGATTTAATATATTAATTTAGCAAAACGAATTTTCCTTGGCAAAGACGCTAAACTTATTAATGAATACCTCTTCAGAGTTGATAAAGGTGCATATCTTCACAAATATGCAGGCCTTTGGGCTCTAGGATTGGATTTGTTACCAACATCGGAAGAACAAAATTTAAATTTATTTGTTTATAAAGGATGTGCTTGTTCTATTAATGTTTGGGTAAATTTTTTGATAAGAATTATCTTGAGTGGGAGGCGACCCATACAATCAGAGGATTTTTTATTTATACGTCTATGAAAAAGTATTTGATTTGCTTTTGAGATATAATTGCTTTTGAGATACAACAGTACAAAAACAATTCATATCAGAGATCCTACTGTTCCGCCCACAGAAAATTCCAAAAAATTGTAAATTCCCGATGCGTTTGCGTCGGGAATCCATATTTCCAAATTAGAATATTTATATTTTATACCCGTAGTTTCCAAGATAAATAATTTATTTAGTTCAAAAACCCATCAATACCAGAATCATTCGAGCCTAAAATAACACAAGGGACGCGGACAGGTCACAGAAATTGTTCTACAAGATATACTAGTAATAATTTACACAAATTGGGATATATAAAAAATGAAGAAAAAATAGTTCGTTTTTCAATATGGGCAAGTAACAACGGAAGTCGTGGCGCAATTGGATTTTTCAATTCTACTGATCTTTTTCTAGAAATAGAGCTCATTGGCAGAGAAATAATATTATTTCCGTATATGGTAATATTTCGTTAATAAGGTTATTTATTTCTAAACGAACCGAACTACAAACCGAAATTCTCTGTTTGGTTTGTCAGTTCGGTTAACGGTAGGCACTTGTTAACCTTCAAAATTCTCGAAATTTTCACCTGCGACGCTAATTGATCAAACCCTAATTTAAATAACTGTATCATACATCGGCACCGGATCTGGAAGTAGGATTTTAATAGTGCTGGTGTTGGAGCCACAAAACAAGACGCGAAAAGGAATTAAATAAGGGTTATAAAGATGGTTTGCATTGATTAAGATAGAGTTGTATGGATATCGGGTCTTTGTAAAGATTGAAGGTAATATTGTGGGATTTTGGCATGGTATTGTTTTATCAAGAAGGGTAACTAGATATCAAGGGATATGGATTATCAAGAGATATGGGGGATTAAGTGTAATTCTAAAAAATACCGTGGACTAGGGAACGATTTATAATATTGGGATACGAATGCTATCAGGTGTTCTCTCTCTTGATCTTTCTTAATCCACAAATAATCCCCTAATATTCTTCAATCCTTTTTTATTTCATCTAATCCATTTATTTCTCTTTATTCCCATAAAGTTAAAATTTATTTAAAATTTTCCTCGAGATAAGCTTAGTTTTTAAAATCCTAATTTAGTATAAAAAACCAAGGCCAATTAAAAAATTTATCGGTATCAATTTGTTTGAATATGGAGCATCAATAGATTTAATTATGCGAATAAGCAATTATTATGTTTGGATATTATTTGAAAGTAATGTTTTTGAAAAATTTGTTAAAAAATTTTGGGCAAATGAATGGTGGAACGGAACATTTTTGAAGGATTCTGAAATCAAAATGGAAATTGGGGGTGATTTTATTTTAGCTACCCCTTTAATGATCAAAGTGATTGATAATCGAAGTTTAAATGTAGGTTTTGGAGTTTTTATAAAAAATTTTTGGAACTTATTTACTTTAACTACCCACCCCAAATTTTTACCGTGGGATTTTTTATTTAGATTTGGACAATATATACGTCAATCGAGAGAGCTCGACGAGCTGAAGCGAATGATAACAAAATCAGCTTGATTTGGTGATTTTGAACAAAATTACGAGCGACTGCATCTTCGCTAGAATATCTACTTTTGTGCGACTAGGGGGTAGGTCCGCATTTCAAAGCTGAAAATCGACAAAAAGGTATAGGTTTATGTTACTAGTGTAAAACTGAGAGACCTTTAACTTTCCGCGAGGCATGTACTGCAAAACTACTCGCGAAACACGGTTTCCGAACAAGGTTTGCATTGACCATTTTGAGTCCATTTGTCTCAGCTCAGACTGAGTCCGAAGGCTTAATTTGATGTCATTCGATTCAGCTAGTCGAGCTCTTTCGAATGATATATAAATTGACCATATAAAACAAACATCCGGTAAAATTTTAGGGTGGGTAGTTAAAGTAAATAAGTTCCAAATTTTTTTACTCTTTCTGACTTAAAATTTTAATAATTGACAAAAAATTGTCTTGCCCTTATTCATTTTTCGAAAGTTTTTATTCATGAACTTTTTTTAACCTCAACGTACCGCAAGGTGATAATTGAAACAAAATTTACTCCATTCAAAATTTTCGAATCTGGGACGCCCTGGTATTAGCTGAATTGAATCCAACCATGGCGGCGGCTCTAATCCGAACCAGGACGCGTCGGATTCGAAAATATTGTACGAAGTTATTGCTCTGCGATCCTTGGTCTGCTTCCGTTTGAACAACGGGTATTACTCTTAAAATCTTTTTTGGATAATTATTATTAAAATTAATTTTAATAAGAATATTTTTATCTCACTTTAAATTTAATCAAATTTAGTATTACAATAAAAAGTTTGATGTGATTAAAATGCCATATTCATTAAAGATTAGAGAAACTATTAGCAAGAAAACATCTTTTCGTTGTCATTTTAAAATTAATAATGAAGCAACGAAATTTAGTATAAAATTATTGAATGGCGTAGAAGAAAATCCTTACAGTAATTAAAAAAATAAGACTTTAATTTAATAATATTATTTAAGTTGGAAATCTTCTTTATAAATTTGATGTTTTCGATAGTTTAACAAATGTAACAATTAAAACAGGGGATGTAAGTAAATATCTAGCAGGCATGCTTACGGATAAAGATATCCTTGTATAATCCGGGGATGCTGACATGAAATTTTGAATAAGTAGAGTCACGAGTAGATATCATCAATTAATAAAATTAATAAAAATTTTTTTATTAATTTTCATTAATAAAAAAAGTTATTAATGGAATTTCGTCTCTTGAACTTTCGGCTCCTTGACTTTTCGGAAATTTTCCAGCGGAATATTTGTCACAAAGGAAATAAACGGAATGTTTGTCATCGCAATTTTCGACTCACTAGGAATTTTCGTTTCTAGCGGAAAAATCGACGTGGTTTTCCAAAGTGTGTATTAAAGATAAAATTTAAAAAATGGAAAAAATCATGAAAAAAACAACACTACATAATAGGAAAACACAGGCCAAAAGCAAGTTAACTCTAAAGTAATTTAGCCGCCTGATAATATTTGGACTGAAAAGCAAATTGGACTGTATATAAATTTATAAAATTTAAGTACCCTAATAATTATGATGAATGTATTAATGAGAGATTTAATAAAAAAATATGTGATGGATTCAAATGCAAAACATCTGTTCCAATAAAAATATTTGAAAGGGGAAGAGCATACGAGCTTTTTTTACGTATTACTAGTACAAGAAATGAATTGAGTTATAAAACACTAATTGAGACATTTATTAATGGTGAATTTATGAAAAATTTTACAATAAGAAATGATTTTCCAAACTGGACAATTGATAGAATATTGGTAATTTTAAATTCTATTAATGTTACATCATTGATTTAATGTAATTTGCGTTCATTACATTTTTTGTTTATTGGATTCGGTTTTTAAGATACGGTTAGCTTATACACATAGGATTCCTTAGTTATACTATAAATTGTGCGAGATAATATAAGGAAGAGTTAATTGCATTTTCTATGTCATGAAATGCAGAACGAGCAATAATGATATGTATCTGCCAACCGTTTAGTTATTATTTTAGTTAAATGGTGATATTCTGCTTTTGGATCATACTTATTTCCATGGTGAACAACAAGAATTTCCATTTTTGGTTTATCGAAGGGAGATTAATAAATTGAAAAGATATGGAACTATTGTTTGTTTTGAGGCTTTGGTAACTTCAGCTAGTGAAGTGATGGATCCTCTATATGTTTTTAAAGTACAATTATTTCACGACTCTCAAATTGCTAATAATTTTAGTAAAATTTTTAATCAATTCAATTAATATTTTTAATTTTAATAAGACATTGATATCGTGATGGAGCTGAATTTCGTTTTTGATCCTGACATAAATACAGGATATACAGGACATGACTATATTAAAGCAAAATATTCGCACTTGATGATCATTAGCTATTCCGCTAAAAGAAATACTTTTCTAAATGAAAAATTCCATACAAATCCAATTGTAGCTGGTATGCCGATAGTTATAATAATTAAAGCCTCAGAGGGTAACTACACAATCAATATTAATGGTGGTGATGACATCTATTATCCGAATCACATATTTCCTCATTGGTCAATAAATCGTGTTCAAGTATGTTTTTCCCAAAACTTTCCAAATTAAAAAAATTGTGTTAATAAATATGTATATTAGAATTAAGGCAGAAAGAAATCTAAAATAGACGCTTTCATATGTAAATTTTCCCATCCACAATGGGGTATTTAACTCTGAGGCAATTTCCTTGCAAAAGGTCTGTATTTATTAAATTTAAGATTTGTAACAAAATAAAAACCAAATTCAGGGTTAAATAGGAATGGCTGTGACGGGGGAGAAGTATCAGGGAGATTTCATGTAATAATTTCCTTTAAGATAACAGGCCATATTAATTACGTATTATTTGATGGAAATTCTGATAAATGCCGAAGGCTAACCTACAATATTCCAGAAGCTAAATCGGATGAAGAAACTCAAAGAGTAAAAAAACAATTGAATAGTAAAAGCGAAGTCATTATTAGAGGAAAAATACCAAATATATTAAAAGAAAATATTACTGTTAATTTTCTTCATGCAGCTATTGAATGGAATGAAACACGTTTGATTTAATATGTATATTTTTTGCTTACTTTTTTGTTTTTATTTAGTAGGCAACACAATTTTTCAAATGAACATTACAGGAAAATTTATTTGTATAGATTCATATACGGTAGCTAATTTAAAGTTAATTTTAATTAATTTAATTTAAAAGAATGGATATTGGATTAAGTTGAAAAGAAATGATACAAATATATGCTCTAATCATCAAGGCTTAAAGAAAAATGAACAGATAGAATTAATTCTAACTTTTAAAAATGCTTCACTTTGGTACATGTTAGAAACAAAAGACCATATGTTCGAAAATAATGTTACTTTGGATATCCCTATATCATTTACACAATATATTCAAGTGAGATATATTTTTGTAAATATTTGGGTTTGGGGTTATCGGATAGGACAAAACTGAACCGAAAAACAGAAGATTTTTGGTTTAATTCTCCGGTTCGGTCCGGATATTTAGATTTATCAAGAACAAAACACTCCCGAGTTCCATGTTATCACAAAGACCAGACAAAAAAGTATAATAAAATCAAAGAACGCTTGAGTGTCAAGCAATAGAGTAAAAAATATCTCAATAAATTATTATTTTATTTCGATAAAAATTATTTTTTCTATTATTTCGATATCTTCTCTCGGTTTCTAGGTTTACTAGTGAAAATTATGACAAACAGCTTCTAATATACATATCTTATTTAATTTTTGAAATTAATTTTATATGTTTTTTCAGGTTAATAATTTGAAGAAATATGTCGATGATTTAATATCAATAAAATATGATTAAAACTATTTTTGTTAGTGATTATGTATTTTATTAAATAGAATAAAGTATTTAAATAATAATAGACTTATCGTTAGCTTTAATAAATTTTCTGTGCAAATCAGACTTTCTTTGATAATAATTAACACTCATCTTTTAAAACGTGTTTCTCATAATATCAGGTTCTCAATTGTCGAATCCTGGACGTCCTGATACAATTAAATTAAGCTCGACGAACCATACCAAGGCGTCATGAATGCAAAAATTTAGAAAAAAGTTATGACACTGCGGTACGATGGGCTTGCGATACATTTTTTGGTTAATAGATTAAAGTATGCTCTTTAAAATTGCAAATTTTTATCAACAACAATAATAATTTACAAATTCAAATTTATAAAAGTTGTTCAAATCTTTTAATGTATAAGTTTATGTTCACCTTACGAAACATAGATCTCTGATAAATAAATATGAAAGAGTTAAACTTGTTAAGACATTTACTCAGCGTTCATAAAATTTTGCACCACAGTGTATATTTTCTCCTAAATACTCATCACTAGGGTGTGTAAAAATATGCATGGAAAAAGCCTAAATATGCACTAAAATAAACAAAATTTCCAGAAATATGCGCTTGATATGCAGCAAAAAACAGTAAATTGTGCTTCAAAAATTAATTCTTTAAGATTTTACGGACTTCTATAAGATTTTACGGACTTTAAATTAATGAAAAAAAATTTTTGATACAAATTTTCCTGAAAATTTTTCGAAGAAATTTTTCAAAAAATTGTCTTTAAAAAATTTTTTGAAAAAATTTTATATTTTGCTAAAAAATAATTTTTTAACTACAAATTTCTAAAAAAATTCCAAAATATTTACAAATTTTGGTAAAAATATGCAAAATTTACCAAAATATGCACAGATATGCAAATATGCACAAAAGACCGTAATATGCAAAAATATGCATTAAGAACCGGGTCCTAAAGTGCTCGTACTGATGTAAAAACACTATTTTTGAGCGTTTCAGCTCAATTTTTGAGCGTTTCAGCCGCATGCAAAATATGCATTTGCATGTTTTGACAAGCCCTATTCATAATATTTACAATATTAGTGACTATAATTATCTGCCTGCCTTTATCATAATACTAGCATCATCTCGAACAGTACAAACATAATTTACAA